GATGGCGAGTGCGGAGCCGTCAGGCGAAATTACTGGTCAGTCGGTGACACGCATTTTTCACAAAAATTGCGTTTCACCTGCTGGGAGAGTGTGGGTGTACTCGAGTCTCATCCTGAGCACGTTTTTTTCTTTCTTTTTTCAGCTCCAGTATAGCTGTATTTTTCATTGCAAAGCCGTCCTCGATTGTTGTGTTCGTTGTTCAAATGAAGTGGACATTCAATCACGAAGGCAGAGGACATAGGAGCCTGATTGGAGTTTCTCGTGGCATAGGACGGCCACACAGAGACACTTTGGGATTTTCTGAATATAAAATACCGTACGCACGATTCTGAGATCAATTTGTGCGATATCAAATTGTTTGTGATCTATCACATCCAGCAGAACGGGATCCAAACACAAGCTTACCGATGGATAGGCTGCCAACCTGACTCGACAAATGATCCCTGGCTTCACCAGACGCCAGAAGTCGGACACCATGTCCTTTGCCGCGACATCCATCTCCAAAAAGAACTCCATCTTCGTCATGAAAAGGCTTGAAATACTCAATATTCAACCGAGATTCGCGGTCTCACCCTTTCTCAGATCGAATCATTTTTTGTTGTAGCAGTTGCAGGGCAGATCCCCACCACTACTTCAACAGAAGATGGCTCCAAAGCATGCCTGGAACAAGCCATATCGATGTTGCAATCCACCCCTCTCAGCACTTTTTTTGAAGAAATTCGAAATTTCAATGGTGGAAGATATACTATGAAGAAAATTTCAAAAAGTATGTTTCGCGGAGCGATCGCTCAACCTACATCATTCAAACTTTGCAGGATGGTTCAGGCGTACATGCTAGGCATGGAACCACAGAAGAATCTGATGATTATCATACCTGACACACAGAGTCACACACACAGCAGATTCGTGTACACAGATACTAAATTAGTGGACATCGTCATCTTCTTCCCGCTGATCTCAAATGTACTATGACGTGCTATTTCGCCTGATGAAGTTGGTGTAAATGCTGACAAAGCTGCAGCGGCTGCTGCCGACACTGACCCTGCTGCTTGCTTAGAAGACTGCTGGCCACCTTGCGATCACGCTGGCACTACGTCCTGGTGTGAATGTGGCAAATGTTCAATTTTTGCGGAACGACTGCATTTGCTGCAAAGATGTTCCGGAATCGGTAGCGATTGGTTGCGGAGTCTGGCTGCATTACTTGCACTTCACTGTTCGAGAAAGGCTGCAGCAACCAGCACGCACTGTACATTGTACTGCGCGGCTATTTGGATACGATCCATCAGCTGGCCGGATCGAAGCCATCTGAGTTTGAAAACCGGTACGTGCTAATAGTGTAATACTATCGTTGATTTTGCATCGGAGAACTGTATTTTCTCATCAAAATAAAATACTGTTCCATGGTGCAAAGATATAACCAGGATATTGGCTTGTATACTTCTTCAAAAATAATTGTGTTGTAGTGTGCGTGCTGTTGTTGCACTGAACTGTACGTTGAAATGTGAGACTAACAGCAGGAAGATCTACTCCCCTGTTCCCCAATGCAGCTTGTACCGTTACGCAGCATACCGACAATACATTTGGCTGGTATTCGGAAAACTTGGCCGAGGAGTCCGGTGGAACACCTGCATAATGGACACACGGCAAAGCAATCATAAACTGTCACTATTTGTAGTCAGCCAGGTGCTTGCACGTGTGTGTGTGTGTGTGTGTGTGTGTGTGCGCGCGCACTGGGGGACGCCTGTCCGGAAAGATCGATGGCACAGCGTCTGCTTTCAGCTTTCGGCGGCATGCTTTACCCATCTCTCCCTGCAAGTTCCTCTGGAAGGCACCCCCCTCAAAATGTGCCGAACAAATTGCACAACTCTCCTCAAACGTAGGTGGCAAATTATCGCGGTGAATCGCTGCAACCCATTCAGCTCGGAGAGCTTTATCCCGCGGAATACGATGCACCGTGGTCCCAAGGGGCTTGCCAGACTGGTTAGAGCAGCCGACAGCACAGCAAACCGGCATCGTGGTTGAAACTGTTCAGGTCGCAAGAAAGAAACTCCACAAACGCCACTCTTTCTTGCTCACTGAAAAGCAAGCAGACCGGGAACCTGTATCTCTTTGACGTCACAGGGTGTGGAGGGGGTGTGCGCCGGCCGCATGACGTCATGGTAAATTTCAAATTGAAATATCTCCAGAACGGGGTATCGCACGGGGATGGGACCTTCACCACCGAACTCAGCGCCTCGAAATCTACAAACTGTGAAATTTTGATTTTAGGGTGAACTTTCCCTTTAAGCAGGGCTTGAAAATCGGCTGTTTCTCTTTGGATATTTGCGACGTCGCGAAGTGCTGGCCGTCGTCATCTGGGTGCTTGCATATGGCGGAGCGATTTTCTCACGAATGAAGTCTTCGTAGTTGTAGTAGATTCTGTTTTCGACCAGGCGAGGCCACACAACACTTGCAAACACAGGCACGAACAGTCGACCAGCGAAACTCCACAGGCGCAAGTAGTTACTCGGGACTAGCTGGTTTTGTTCCATATTTAAGATTATGAGAACTCATCAAAGGAGAGCCAAATAGAATTGATATCATCAATCAGGTTGCTTAACTTGCACTTGAGAATGGACTGTACTTCTTACCTTCATCATGTAAGCCCCTTTTGCTCTGTCGATTGTTCCTAGTCACTTCTACATGCCATGCATTTCGAATTTTCAAGCCTACGTTTTTAGTGCTGCATGCAGCCGCATTTATTGGTTTGGGTTTTCATGCGCAAGATGGTGGTAAATCCATAGCTTGTAATGGTCTTGAGAGCCATCTACTTTTCGCATGAGAGATACCATTCACACATGATTTCTGGCTCAGGGCTTGAGTGGCGAGAATGGAACAAGTTCTTTTGTCCGTTTCTTCAAGCCTGTGCGGCAGATCTCCAAGCTGCACTACATGAGGGTCACGCAAGCAGAGCCGGGTGTTCTTTATGTGAAGGAGAGTGCCAATGCACCTGAGCAGAGGGTGATGCTGCTGAAGCAAAGGGCATCATTTTACAAAAGGGTTGAATGTAAGAACGATTTGGCTCAACGCGAGCGCATCTTGAGTTCCCTTAGTTCACAGAAACTGTAACTCATCATTAGACAATGAATTGAAAAACCAAAGAACCAGAAGACGACACGAGGAGACAAGCCCTAGGAAAACGGGCCAGAACACCGTATGTTGTACATGAGGGCCATGAAAACAACGTAGGCGTGCCATGGCGCAAAGGTATGTAAAATACTTTAGAAGACCTGATAGAAAGAAGAAAGAAGAAAGAAGGCTGTATAATCAGTTGCTTGTATGCTTGTATGTATGCTTGGTGCGAACCATTAGTTTGTGACGATGCTTATTCATGCAATATCTAACAAGCATGCAATATTCCACGATCATAGCGCGAGCATGACTCACAGTCATAGCCATAGCACAGTCATACAGCACAGCACAGTTGTACAAGCGCATGATCGCGGGTACAAAGGGTTTTCCAAAATGACACCCAATTTATCATGAGAGCAGCTCAAAGAACTACACGCTCAAAGCGGAAACAGCATAGAAGAGAGGCGTAGAAGCCGAGTAGAACACGATTAGATGGAAGGAGAGAAATATCAGTGTCAGTAGAACAATAGCATGGACACTCGTAATAACAGAATAGATGACGTGGCCGTAGATTGGAGCATCTCCACGTGCGCGTTCGCACCAACGTGACTCAGAGGGAAATAAATAAGTAAACAGACAAGGTAAGGTCGAAACGAGGATCATTCAAGAAGCTGTCTTGAAACATGTGCAAACAGGCGAGTGACGACAGCATCTAGGTATTGTGGTAGTATACCAAGCCGAGGTCTTGTGGTAGTATACCAAGCCGAGGTCTTGTGGTAGTATACCAAGCCGAGGTCTTGTGGCAGTACACCAAGCCGAGGTCTTGTGGCAGTATACCAAGCCGAGGTATTGTGCTAGTATACCAAGCCCAGGTCTTGTGGCAGTATACCAAGCCAAGGTCTTGTGCTACTATACCAAGCCGAGGTCTTGTGGCAGTATACCAAGCCGAGGTCTTGTGGCAGTATACCAAGCCGAGGTCTTGTGGCAGTATACCAAGCCCAGGTCTTGTGCTACTATACCAAGCCGAGGTCTTGTGGCAGTATACCAAGACGAGGTCTTGTGGCAGCATACCAAGCCGAGGTCTTGTGGTAGTATACCAAGCCCAGGTCTTGTGGCAGTATACCAAGCCCAGGTCTTGTGCTAGTATACCAAGCCGAGGTCTTGTGGTAGTATACCAAGCCGAGGTCTTGTGGTAGTATACCAAGCCGATGTCTTGTGGTAGTATACCAAGCCGAGGTCTTGTGGTAGTATACCAAGCCGAGGTCTTGTGGCAGTAAACCAAGCCGAGGTCTTGTGGCAGTATACCAAGCTGAGGTCTTGTGGCAGTATACCAAGCCCAGGTCTTGTGCTAGTATACCATAGTATACCAAGCCTATGCCCTTTTTTTGTTGGCTTTTTTCCTATGCATTCCTGCAGCAACTTAGACAGCGGGCACCGTGATATGGCATGGATTGCCCTAGTTAGAACAAACGGAGTGTACAAATGGAGAACTGGCCAGCCCTATTATTTCAGTAACTTTAATTGTAAGAGGCTGGACACGTTTTTCACCAGAGAACACTACTCGCCCTGTGTGGTGATAAAGCCAAGTGGCTTGTGGTTTACATACACATGTGATTATAGACCCAAACTTCTTCTCTGCAAATACAATGTTTCGGATGCAGGTGAGTTTTCCAGGGTCAAAAGTGCTTTGTTGTTTTCAGTAGATGTCGGTGATGCCAGGCCGTATGAGCATGCCGGGCTGACCACTCGCAAGCCTTATCGACAATGAGCTGTATTCATTTGCCTCCACTCAAATTGATAAAGGGGTTGTCTCAAAAGTTTTCTGTCGTCCCTGAAACGAACATCGTCCATTTCGTACTTGGACCCCCTTCCCTCCCTCTGAAACGAACACAGCTTGCTATGCTGGACGACGAAAACCGCATGCATGTACATGTCATATGTACAGTGTCGGTCGACTTGCGATTTTGGCTCGCACCTCCTCCCCCCCCCCCAAATGAATCATGTTCGTTTCAGGGACGACAAAAACTTTTGCGACGACCCCTAATACCTTTGCATTGAGTTCCCGCCTTACTGATTTGTACAAGAAAATTTACTTGAAAATTTAATGTGAGCCGAGCCAAGCAAAAAACTGGCATATTTTTTTAATATTATTTTTTCATGCTAATGTGACATAAAGCTATCCAACTACCATCATGTGAAGAAAGAGGCATGTCTTGGGGTTGCGAACACCTACCATACAGCCATACATGCAAATAGAAAATAAAATAAAATACCTTCCGTCCGCCCTGATTTCTCAGGAAAATCTGAAGATAAACAATCAATATATTTTACATGGCCTTTTTAAATGAGCCAGAGCACGCTAAAATATGACCAGAGACCAAAAATTCGAATTTCAGTTTTGTTCAAAAATGATCAAACACATCTAATGTTCACTGTCTGAAAGTTTCGGATTGATCTGACATGTCTAAGTGTAAGATTAACATTACACGGTGTATTGTTAATCTTAATTTGAATTTGAATCGCAGTGAAGAGACAGTTTTTGGAGTTGAGAAGTGAAGTTTGCTAAATGAGCAATGGGATTTTCATTTTTGTATACAGTCAATATGTCCCTTGGTTCGTCATTTCTGGGTCAGTTCCTCTGTCCAGGGTCTTATAGCATGAGCTGACAGGAACTCGGCAACATCCAAAGTTTCCATAGGCAGCTGAGTTGGGTGTGCGAAATACCTCCTGCTTGGCGCACCACTGGAGAACCGCCCGCGAAAACAAGGTCAACATCTGTAGACGTCCGAAGAAGTTAGTACTCCACATCCTCTCCATCACACTCCACCTGTACTTTCACATGCATGTATGCAGTTCTGCACACAGTCTTTCTCAACATACTCTATATGTTTTTCTTCTTCTTTAAAAAATAATTTATTTAAAGGATTCTCCAGAGGCCGTTTAGGTCTATCGAGGGGTCTCCATTTTGTACAGTTAGGATGAGAATATGAGAATACAAAGTGAGCAGAGACTGAGGAGAAATAACACGACAAATAGGACAACTGGGAGTGAGCAAATCAATGAGGAAAACAAGAAATACCAGTGAACACCATTGCAGTTAAATTGAAACTTATCCATACTACAGTAGGTATCGGTTATAGCGTGGGTGTTTGAAAAACGACTTTCTATTCTTATTTCCGATATTTCTTGCACACGATGAATCAAGTGTGACATACTAATAATAATAATAATTCTCGTCTACGTTCCAAAGGGAACTCACGACAATGGAGTGACAAAAAGCACCGCGGCAGAGAGAGAAAAGAGAAGATATGATATTTGACGAAAACAATCACGGTGTAGATTTCACATGAGTTCCAATACACCACATCAGCAAAGCTCTTTCTTAGAAAAATAAAAAATAAGATACTGTATAGCAGGAAATTTTCGGACGGAATTTATTTTCGTTCGATTTCGTACACAGCCTCTTTTGTACTAAAATTAATTCCGTTCTAAAATTTGTCCCTGCGAAGTTATGTACACTATACATGCGAACACGTGCATTTAGCATGCAGCACTGTACGAAAATAAAATCCGTACGAAAGGTCGAAAATCGGCTTTGTCCGAAAATATTTCCGTCCGAAAATTTCCTGCTATACAGTAAATGAAATGAAATCATTGGTCATCACAGTTAGTCATGTGCGTCCACACCAAAATCACAGCTGGTCATGTGTGTTCACACCACCGCAGAACAAATGTTACTCCACTTCTGCCGGTCAACTGCACAACTTCTTAGGGTTTCGAGGTGCCGGCTCGTCTTCAATGCGACGGCGGTGAACTTGACGTCTTGCTGGAGGGTGGTGACTACACAGGACCTTGGAGCTCTCCTCCTGTGCCTCACAGCGTCCTCCATTGATGCGTATGCAATCATTGCTTGATTGCCTGGTGTCGATGATGGCTGGCGTAGGATGTGTCCAAGCAGACGCCATCTCGCTCGCTTTGCCATAGCGGATATTGGCTCAGTGTGAGCAAGCTCATACAGGTCATCATTCGACACGACACGAGGGTAGAATATACCAAGCATATGCCGAAGTTGCTTGCGATGGATCTTATCCAGGGAGTTTTCCAGTGCCTTAGAGAGGCCTGCGCAGCCAATATTGTACGTGAGGATAGGAAGAACGTATGCGTTGTAGAGTCGTACCATGGTGTTAGTTTGTAGATGTTGCCGCCGAAACCAGATCGCCTTCATTCGACCAAATGCCACAGCAGAAAGACCAATCCTGCGTGTCACATCTTGTGCAGTGCCAAACAGAGAGCCCAGAGTCCTGATGCTTCTCCATTGCTCTTGACCACGGTGCACTGTTGTTTCTGAAACTGGTTCAAGGTACATCCTGACCCATTCCGTTTTAGAAACATTGACTTTCAGGTCCCACTTGTCGAAGATGTCCTCTGCAAGTGCCAGAAGCTTACGGAGGTATGTGTGGGACGTTGATATGAAGTCAGCGTCGTCGGCATATGCTGTTTCCGGTGGTATCTGCGCATCTGCAGTCGGTCTTGGTGGTAGTGCTGATCGAAGATCACGTAGTGCAGCTTCGAGGTATACCGTAAACAGCACAGGTGAAAGTCCGTCTCCTTGTGGTATTCCCTTTGTGGTTGGAAATGCAGGTGACTTAAATGATTCTATCTTCACCTCAAGTGTCGTGTTGGCCATGAGGTATCGAATGATACATACCTCGTCGTCATTAGCAATCTGCTCACTGCGGAGTACTTGCAGAAGCTTCTCTCTGTTCACAGTATCAAATGCCTTGCTGAAATCAAGGCCGAGGACATGAATTTCTGCACTGAATCTCTCCACAATCGACGAAAGCCACCTCTTGCACCAGACTACATCCGCCGTCGACCTGTTGCGGCGAAAGCCGGACTGCCCGGGTGAAAGGTACTTCTCCACTCCCGGACGGATTCTGTTCAAGATAACGAGAGAAAGGCTTTTCCTGAGTGATGGAAGCAGGATGATCGGACGGAGATTAGCAGTAGGGCCCTTGGGCTTTCCCGGCTTCTGCAACGGGATGAGGGTGCCTTTGCCGACTTCGATGCCTTGGTGTGTTTCGAAAACGTTGTTGAGAATTGACATACTGTATAGCAGGAAATTTTCGGACGGAATTTATTTTCGTACGATTTCGTACACGGCCTCTTTTGTACAGGTGTAATCCTGATAATTCGAACCTCCAAATGCCAGGAAAAAACTTCTAATTATCCGGACATTCTAATTATCCAAACATGAACCCACAACACAATATGTATGTCAAAATGCTCTCATGGTCACGCAGAGTTGCGCTATGGACCTCAGACACAGATTTCGCGGATACTGACCTGACCGGCACAGCCTGCTTATGCAAACTGAACTGACCAGTACAATGTACAGCGAACTTCGAATTACACTTTGCTAACTTCGAATTATCAGCACAAATCCCACACATTTTCTATGTAAATGGAATCTGTGGGACTTCGAATTAACCGGACATATCCAGTTCGAGGTTCGAATTATCAGAATGTTTTATGTGGGACTCGTATTGATAGAAATCGGTCCTGGAAAAACTTCTAATTAAGCGGTACGTTCGAATTAAGCCATATTCGAATTATCAGGATTCCACCTGTACTAAAATTAATTCCGTACTAAAATTTGTTCATGTGAAATTATGTACACTATATGGGTACTGCTGGCGAATGCATGCATGAAGCATGCAGCACTGTATGGAAATAAAATCCGTACGAATGGTCGAAATTCGGCTTTGTCCGAAAATATTTCCGTCCGAAAATTTCCTGCTACACAGTATCATGTGCATGTGCGCAGAGGCAGGAAGATCATCGTACATGCAATGTAGTGTTGGGTGCATGCGGCTGGTCATAGTCACATAGGCTTACCATGTGGCTATGCAACATGAGGTACATGACCACAACAGTTGAACCTGCAGAACTACGACCCAACGCGAGTCAGATCGGAACTGAATTGGACGGATATTATTACTACAGGCGATATACTTTGTACTAACCTGGTATGTTTTGCTACACAAAGTCCATTCTTAGGACCGATATATTCTACTGTACTATAAAATTGCTTGTAAGAATAAATGTGCACTTGAAATCCATGTTATGATTATGAAAACATGAGAGTTCATTCTTGTAGGCAGTATATTCTTTTACACGACCACGCTATAACCGATACCAAGAGTACATAACCCCAAGAGTGTGCAACTGCCTGCACAACCTCTATGGTGTACTGCGACGGCAGAACTTCACATCACGTGATAAAGGTCAAAAGGTTACGCGACGAACGAGACAAAGACCCGCTAGGAGCGAAAAACACCCTGGTACTCATTCTCACTTTGAGGACGGGTGCACAGATAGAATACAGGTATATTCATTGCAATGTACAATGTATTGTACACAATGTGTTGTATTCAAGTACACAACTCACTACATGGCTTCAAACCCAAAAGATTTGAAAGGAAGGTGCCACACTTCATGTCTTTGTTTGCAAATAATTGTGTGCGTTGTCTATGTTTTTCAACACTGTTGTAAATCTCTTCTCATCGACATGGAGTGTTTTGTTAATAACCCCAAGACGTTTGCGGAATGCACATCAAGTGCTTTTACAACGCTGCCGTTTTGTTCCAGTGGAGTCACA